ATCCCTACTCTCCACAGGATTGTAAACAGGGTTTTATCTTGTTTGCAAGATGGTAAGAAATAAAGACGTGATACAAAGCAGGTGATCTTTAAAGAGTTATTGATGAGTGAATGAATTTATTGAGACTTCTCATCAAGGTTAATCTCAGGCTGAATTACTGAAGTGTTATTGTAAAGCAGCACGGAATAAGATGTTTGTGAATTGGTTTTTGAGGAGAAAATGTCACTCTCTTTGCTTTTGTTCAGTAAAACTTCATCAAGGAAGAGTGTTGCATAATGAAGAAAGACAAACAGTACACCTACTCCTCACTTAATCAACTGTATTGTTTTCTGATATTTTGCTTTAAAAATATATATGTTTTTAAATCTATCCAACCATTTTGCATAATAACAACCTTTGGCAGTAAGCATGTCAAGGTGTTAGGTGAAAGCATTGTTTGATTATGCAATGGTGTAATTTCATTATCTAATCCTCCATTTCATATAACACCAATTTTTGCATTATGACCTGGTCTTTGAACTTCACCATGTCAAGTGAGGAGTGGGTGGATGAGGAAAGTTCAAAACCACAAGTCGCCCAAATGGCCTGCTCAGTACTTGCCCTCATGCAGTGATCTCTGAAGGTGTGGGTGCAATAGCAAAGTGTGGTGTGGTGAAAAAAAAATCAGATGGTGCTTGGCTGTCAGAAAGGATAGTGTCTGGAGACTTTAAAGCAGGGGTCCTCAAACTTTTTTAAACGGGGCCAGTTCACTCTCTCTCAGACCCGTTAGAGGGCTGGACTATAGTTTTTTAAAAAACTGAACAAATTCCTATGCACTCTGCACATATCTTATTTTGAAGTAAAAAAACAAATGGGGCAAAAGCACCCAGCGGGCCGGATAAATGTCCTCGGTGGGCCACATGTGGCCCGCAGGCCATAGTTTGAGGACGCCTGCTTTAAAGGCTTGTTTTCATACAAGCCATCATCTAAATGAGGTGCCAGCTAAAGTCCATACAAAACGAGCACACCAGCGTGTGTGATTGAAGGATTGTATAATAATAAAATCCAAGACTATACGAAGCAATTGTATTAAAACTTAAATTCTGAGCAGTTGATTTGCAGAAGGCTACAGATGCCAGTGAAAACCCAAAGTCCATTTGCATAGCCCCATTCAGATTAAGCCTCCGTTGAATTCCCTCAGACAATTGGCTAGGGATATGAAAAATCTTACCGTCATGGTGCATTGGAAAGTGGATTACTGTTAAAGTGGATTCTAGTTAAGTTAAAATTTAACATGTTGTCATTTGTTTTCCCTTGTAATGTAATGTAATGTAAAATGTAAAAATACATTTTAAGGTATTCTAGTTTCTATTTTGCTTTCTTTTGGATTGAAGTCTTCTGTGTTTTATTTTGTTGTCATTGTTGGGGTTTTTTGTATAATTTTCTTGACGTGAAATCCAGAATATATAATCCATACAGACAGTAACTAGATTGATAGTTCTTTTGGGTTATGACCAAGAGAAAGATGAGGCTCCCTACTCCTGTGAAGAGTTGCAATCTCATGAACCCACTGAGGCAGTCTGCCCTGTCCTCCAGGGTCATCGTGAGTTGGAATTGACTCAATCGTGGTGAGTGAGAGTTATTACTGGAAGGGTAGTGGGGAGCTATTGATAATGGGTATAAGAATGAAGAAAATATTCCAAAATGGATTGTGGTGATGATTGCACACCTCTTTTTTAATGTATTTAAACCATTGAATTGTACGTGGATTATATGCCAGTAGAAGTGGGGATTTTTTGTTTTGTTTTAAAGAAAAGGTGAAAGGTTGGCATGGTTCAGAAGACTTTCTGGAGGAGATGAATGCTTCTGCTGGGTCTCAGTGACACGTTTAATACCTTCGGATGTCTCTAGCCTTTTCAGGTCAGGACATCCAATAACCAATTCAGATGGGAGCAAGGAAGTATTTCACCCCTAAAGTTTGGGGTCTGGATTGAAAGAGGAAGGTTTGAATATTCAAGTTATTTGAAACTTAATTCAAGTATCTCATGGTTGATATAATTGGTGTCACTGAATTATTCAAGTGAAAATTGTGAGTTGGCAAATGTTGTTATATATATTTAACAACAATGAAATAATAAAATGATACAAAATAATAATAGCAATATATAATTGATCAAGGATTCACAAGGATGGGAGGGCGGGGTAGGGAGGGGGAAAAAGAGGAGCTGATACCAAGGGCTCAAGTGGAAAATGTTTTGGAAATGATGATGGCAACATGTGTACAAATATCCTTGATACAATTGATGTATCGAATGTTAAAAGAACTGTAAAAGCCTCCAATAAAATGACTTTGAAAGAAAGAAAGAAAGAAAGAAAGAAAGAATAACAAAAATAGCCCAAACATTTCCTCCATACTTCCCTACTGAGGAAGTCAATGTAGCATCTCAGCCCCATCTAGGAGACATTCCAGGACTTTGTGAAAGATCTAGAAAACAGGCTTCTGGAGCCAGACGACCTGTGTTTGACTGCTGCTTCTGCCACTCATCCAGTGAGTCAACTCTGGACTACTTGCTTAGCATCGGGAGTAAAAATGAAATACCGCCTTTCCAGATTGTATGAAGAGGGCATTTTTTTAAATATGTAATCAAATATGCTGTGCTTACTGTAAGTACTAAGTGATGTTTTTGATAACTGTTTACAATTATACGTAACGATTTTTTTTCATCATTTTATTGGGGGAACTATTGATTTTTTTTCTTAAGTTGAGATTACTATAGCTAAGCTAAATAAGTGTGCAGTTTTCAAGCATGCTAAAAGAAAAAACAAAATTTGTATAGTTTCTTTTTAAAATTGCTATACAAATACTCAACAATTACTTTAAAACCAAGATGAGAATGCTCGGGGGCAGGGAAAATAGATGATTGGAAATGGAACAACCAGAGCAGAAATAATGAGAATGAATATTCACGCATTGTAAAAAATGTAACCAATGTCACTAAACAATTTGTGTAGAAATTGCTGAATGGGAACTTAAACTGCTGTATGCATCATCATCGAAACACAATAAAACTTTTTTTTAATGTATGTACTTTCTTAAGTGATATAAAAATATCTACATAAGTAATATTTTGGTATTAACTTTTCCAATTGAAAGATTGGAATTGTGTGATTATCTTCCATTTAATTTTCAGGAGAATCCTCATTGACACTGGAGAACCAGCCATTCCAGAATATATCAGCTGTTTAAATCAGGCTTTGTCTGAATTTAACACAACAATCCAGGAAATCATAGTGACTCACTGGCACAAAGACCATTGTGGGGGCATAACAGACATTTGTAAAAGCATCAATAGCGGTAAGCAGAAACCAGTTATTCAGTTCAAAACTGTGTTCAGAATCATGTGTCTTGGATATAAAGCTTAGTAAGCTGGTAAGCCCTTTATGAAGTGCTTCCTATTTGTTGGTGGTGGTCTTGTTCAGTGCCTTGTCCTGGGCAGCCCATGTGTGCGGAATAAAACTGCTTCATAAGGTCGTCAAGGCTGATTGCCGCCTCTACACAGGCTTGAACCACCCACCTTTCCGTTAGTAGTCAGGTACCACTGGTGCCACCCAGGTACTTCAACTTAAATTCAAATAGTACTTTTAGAATGCAGTCTACTTGTTAAATGCTAATCCCACTTAACATAAAAGGAAAAGAAAAGACCTGTTTCCTGTTTCAAATCCTTTTCTCTCACTTAGTCTCCTCTTTTTTTCCAATGATGAAGCTCAATTTTAATTTAGTCTGATGTTAAGTACTATGTAAGTGCCGACTACTGTGCTAAATGCTTTACATGCATTATTTTGAGTTAGATGCTGTTATTTTCCACATTTTAAACAGATGATCTCAGGTCTTCCTAAGATAAACTTAAATTCTGTCAGGATATCACTGCATCACTAAATCTCTGTTCCTAAGACCATTTCAGTAACGACGGTTTACCAGTTCTCTTCTTGTTTCCACATTTCACCACCACAGCTAGGGTCACCCATTCTTTCATTGCACAAGCATCCAACTGACTACTTACTGTCTGCAGACACAGTAGTTGTGTAGTGTAGTATTGTATAGTAGGAAACAAAAGAGACAGACCGTGCACTCAGATAACTTCCATTCAACCAAAGAAGATAAGTTGTAAATAAGTAAGGTGAAATAGTGATAGGTCATGAGGAAATACAAATTGAAGTGAAGAGAAAAGGGAGAGAGAATAAGGCGGGGCGAGCAGCAGCTGTTGTGTATAGAGAAGACAGGGAGAGGATGGAGGTGTTTAGGTATCTTGGAAGAGAGCATTGCAGGATGAAAGGTACTGGACTGGTACAACCAGGCAGTCAAGAACAGTGCATACAAGGATGCGTCCACGAATACACCTGTACTTAGACCAAGAAGCACTCTTTCAAACAGAACAATGGGATACTGCGTGGTTTGAAATCAGGAAAGGTATCCTTCAGGGGTATATTCTTTTACCATACTTATTCAATCTGTATGCTAAGTAAACAATCCAAGTAGCTAGCCTATATGAAGAATAATGTGGATGAAGACTCATTATTAACCTGCAATATGCAGATAACCAGCCACACGACTAACAGCAGAGAGGACTTGAAGCACTTCCTGATGAAGATCAAAGGCTACAGCGTTCAGTATCGATTATACCTCAACATAGAGAAAATAAATCTTCACAACTGAACCAATAAGCATCATCATAATTAACACAATTTCGAAGATGTCAAGGATTTCGTTTTACTTGGATACACAATCAACACACATGGAAGCAGCTAGCAAGAAATCAAGCAACACATTCCATTGGACAAATCTGCACAAAATCTCTTGAAAGTGTTAAAATATATATATATATATATATTACTTATAGGATTACAGTGCACCTGACCCAACCCCTGGTGTTTTCAGTTGTCTCATGTGCTTGTGAGTGCTGGTCAGTGAACAAGGAAGCCTGAAGAGGAACCGGTGCCTCTGAGGTACGGGGTTGGTGAAGAATGCGGTATATACCCCGAACTGCCAGAGGAGTGAACAAGGCTTCGTTCCTGAGAAGCAAGGATGGAGAGACTTCCCCTCACATACTTTGGACCAGGCCTCGGAGGAGGACTTTGTGCTTGGTAAAGCAGAACCAAACTCAATGCCACGGAATCGGTCCCAACTCATAGCTTCCCTGTACAAGGTTTCTGAGTCTGTAAGTTTTTGTGGGAACAGATAGCCTCAGTGTTTCCCTCAGAACATGGGGTGAGTTTGAACCTCCGACCTTACAGTTAGCAGTCCAACACTTCCCCAACAGCACCATCAGGAACCACTGGTCACGTAGAAGAAGATCCTTGATGAGATAGGTTGACACAGTGGCTACAGCTAGGGGCGCAGAGATGGTGCGGGTGACCCAGGGCCAGGCAGTATTTCGTTCACCTGTACATGGGACTGCTATAAATCAGAACTGACTCAGCGGCACCTAACATTTTTAATATTTTTAAGTAACATACTTCTTAGACCTTGAGACTAGACTTGGGGCACCAAGATCTCCAGGCTGCAAGTAGAGAAAATGGTCTCACCCAATCTTGGTTTCCTCCTGCTTGCTTCCAACTCGGGGGAATGCGTGTCCTAATTCTCACTGATTTATTCTCACTTTCCTTTCTCTTTATCCATTAGACAGTGGCAAAATTCACCATTTTATTGAAATGTACAATTCAGTGGCATTTAGTGCATGCAGGTTTCTTTCTAATTCCAAGACATTTCCATCCACCCAAAGGAAAACCCCATACCTGTTAAACAGCAGCTCTTTATTGTCCTCTTCCCCCAAGCCCTGACAACCACTCGTCTACTTCCTGTCTCTAGATTTGCATATTCTGGATATTTCATACAAATCTTATTAAAAACAACCTGCCGAACACATTCAAATAAAAGTATCATCTGTAAACCTCTTGCAGTTCAAGGCCTATCATCGGCTGTAGTCTGTAAGATGTGACGCAATTGTTCTAGTGGATCGAAAGTAGTTATGGACATGTGTATTCTCACCAGTCTCCTCAGCTCTCCGTGTTATAGTGTCTAGACTGTATATTCCAGTTTTCTACAATGTGGAGTGCTAAGTGAAGGTTATTTAGGAAAGTGAAATCTTTTTTAAACTTAAAAAAAGAACCTGCTATGAAAATATTTGAACATCATTAGTGTTTCATTTAGAAGCCCCTTGTAACTCTAGAGAGCCACCAGTTTGCTGCACAAGAGAAGTATGGAGATTCAGTGTGCTGGAGTGTTTTGTTTTGCTTTTGAGCTAATTTGTAAAATATATTTTGTTAACTGGCAATTAAGAATTATTTTGCTACTGAAGTCAGATCTTTGCCAAGTAGTTTATATCTTAGTCCCAGGAGTCAAGCATTTTCTTCAGTGCTGTTCAATTAGAATATGTTTTCTTAGAAATTGTTGGACTTAAACAGATTGACATGTTTATATCAGCTTAAATATTAAGCATTAGCAATGCTGTTATAACCCATTATTCAAACATTAACAATGACTGAGGGTTTGCTTCTATTTAAAATAATAACAGGATAGAGATAGAAAATGGTTTCGAGGTTGCCAGGGACTGATGGTCAAGAAGGGTACAGGAGGTATGAGGTTTCTCTTTTGAATGAGGAAAATGTGCTAAAATTATGTAATGGTAATGGTTGTACAATTCTGTGACTATACTAAAAACTATTACATACTTTAAAGGGGGTTAATTTGTATGTGAATTACATGTCAATATAAACATAACTTGTATTTTTTAATTATTCACATAAGTCCAACTGATAGTGACCCTGTAGGACAGAGTAGAACTGGTCCACAGGGTTTCCAAGGCCACAAATCTTTACAGACGCAAACTCCCACATCTTTCACCTCTTATTATTGCTATTCTCATTGTCATTATATGATTGCTTGCAGCATACTATTCTCCATTCTGTCTGGAAACTGATATTATGAATAGCATATGTGTATTCATGTTTGCACATAGTCTTCAAAACTGGCAATTATTTCATAGCATGATATTCATTTTGTCATTTTCAGATCATTGTGATTTCTTTTGAAGGAAACATGATACCGCCACTTGTTTTCTGAAGTTCAGTTATGCAGATTGAAAGCAAAAACTTCTGTAATGAATAATTAAAATAACTTTTTAATGTCAGTTCCAAAAGAACGCATTGTTTTGCTACAGCCCCTAAGATACAGAGCAATGGCATTTGGAGTTGGAGAGAGTTGATGGTCACTGTTGTTTTGTTTTATGTTTATTTTTAAGGTTTGTCCCCTTTATCCTTCATTCCAGCCAGATTTCTATGCCTTTGTAATTTTTCTTTGAAATGTCCTTTTTTTTTCTCCCTCCATATTTCCAAGGCTAACATCTTACCTCAAATAGTCTAGCTAGTTTATTGCAGTCATCCCTCCCAATAGGCCTCCAGTCTCCACCCACAACTTGCACATCGACTGACCCGTTAGCACTCATTTGTTTTGTTTTGTTTTGTTTTTTAATTTAAAAAGATCATTTTATTGGGGGCTCGTACAACTCTTATCACAATCCATCCATCCATCCATTATGTCAAGCACATTTGTACATTTGTTGCCATCATCATTTTCAAAACATTTTCTTTCTACTTGAGCCCTTGATATCAGCTCCTCACTTTACCCCTCCCTCCTGAACTATCCCTCCCTCAGGAACCCTTGATAATTTGTAAATTATTATTATTTTGTCATGTCTTACACTGTCTCCCTTCACCCGCTATTCTGTTGTGCGTCTCCCAGGGAGGGGTTTATATGTAGATCATTTTGATCGGTTCCCCCTTTCTTCCTCCACCTTTCCTTGACCCTCCTGGTATCGCTATTCTCATTATTGAGCACTCATTTGTTATCTCACACAACAGTAGCCAGTTATTCCATGACGCTTAATTCCTTGGTCTCTGAAAAGCAATCGAAGGCCCTCCGATCTGAGATCACCTTACCTGTACAGCGTTCTCTCTAGGCTTCCCAGCTAGAATTTTGGGCTAGACAAGTTACATTGTCCCACTGGACCAGCGCTTCTCAACCTTTGGGTCGAATGACCCTTTCACAGGGGTCACCCGATTCATAACAGTAACAAAATTACAGTTATAAAGTAGCAATGAAAACAATTCTATGGTTGGGGTCACCACAACACGAGAAATTGTATTAAAGGGCCGCTTCATTAGGAAGGTTGACCACTGCACTAGACCATGCTCATGCCCATACCTTGACTCATTGTTATCCTCCCGTACCTCTTGAGTTTTCTCTGTACCTTTAACATCTTGCTCATCATTTAAGTCCCACTGCAGGATATATCATATTTGTGAATCCTGTTGAAATTGTTCTGATTTTTCATCCCTTTTTTTCTGAACTCCTCTCCCTTTGATTAGCTGAACTGTTTACTTCCAAAACTCACTGTCATCTCATCCATATCGACTTATAGTGACCCTGTAGAACAGGGTAGAACTGCCCCTGTGAGTTTCCGAGACTATAACTCGTAACAGGAGTAGAAAGCCCAGTCTGTCTCCCTCAGAGCAGCTGACCTTGGGGTTACCAGCCCGATTCGTAGCCATATAAAAGCAGGATTCCTGAACTTTTCATTCAGTACTCAGCCAATGGTACAAAGGATAATTCTTTGTTTGCTGTCTTTGAGTTGTTTTCCTGTCTATAACAGTGTGTAAGTGCTTTTGATGTCACTGTACATCACTGAAGGAACCCTGGTGACTCACATGGATAAGCACTGGGCTCCTCAGTGAAAGGTTGGTGGTTCAGGGCCATGCAGTGGCTCCGAGGTATAAAGACCTGGCAATCGCTTCCATGCGATTACAACTCAGGAAAGTTATGAAGCCATTCTAAACTGTCACATCGAGCATGTACATGGAAACAGCTCAGAGCTGGAAACACAGGAAATCCAAGACAGATAAACCCCTCAGGACCAATATTGAGAGTAGCGATACCAGGAGGGTGGGGGGAAGGTGGGGAGAGAAA